TACTTTGGATTTCCGCAAGAACCTCTTATCATTAACGAAAGACTATTTTACAACTAGTGCACAGCTTCTACCAGTAGACATAACTCCACCAGTGAACACTATTGTGGATTATATTAATCAATAATTTGTAGCAGCGGACTTTAACTGTATAACCAAGTAACCGATTAATTTATATAGCTCATTACTGTATTTTTTATAATATACTGTTACACTTTCATTTCGCTAACTTGGATTTTTTTTATTCTAGTATTTGTTCTGTTACTGAGCTCGCTAGAAATTCCCCTGCAGATCTGTCTGGTAAGCACTGCTGTTTGCAATGATTGGTTTCCGATTGCTCACATTAACCAGTAGTATTATCTACTGTATGTTACCATTTTACTCTCTTTTATGATATGATTTACGCAGTTGAACGGATCATATTTTACGATTTGAGTTTATTATTATTATCTTAATCTCCTTAGTGTTTCTGATGGTGGGATAATACTTTTAAGTATGCGTTCGATTAAGCTTTCCATTTGATAATACTCAGGGGAAATAGTTCGTTTTTTATACGTCACTATGTTAAAAACTTCTATTTCTACTTTCTATATAAAAAGATGTAGAGACAGTTAAATTAAAGGTTTTAGAAATGTCAGCTCTGCTTGAAAAAAAAGATATGGGATTCAAGAAGGCAAACCACTATAAGAGGAATAAGAATACAGAAATTTAATGAAATTAATGTCTAGTATGTGATGCTTTGCTTTACTTAAATTTGGTTTCATGAAAATGAAATAAAAACATAAAATAAAATGTGAAGTCAGTCAGTTCTTCTATGCGGGTCAGAAACTTGACATGCTTAACGCAAAAAGGACTTTTAACAAGTTACAGACTCTTATCAACAGCTTCCATCTTCGCTGGCTGGCTCCATAATGAAGATCAAATGACCAGCCGGCCATCTAGAAAGAATTAGCAGCAAGAAACTCTGTCTGGGAACATACCAACAGGCGATAGCTGATTGGTCTGATCGGGCATAGGTTGAGAAGGCCGTGGAACGACATCGCGCGACCGGCTCTCAAGTGCAATCCCAATGTGAAGCGATGAGTGGGTCATCGGTGCGAGGGTGTCATAGAGGAAATCATGTGGTGGGCAGGAGATGAGGGATTATGAGAAATCATGGACGCAGCTGTAGAGGACAGTAGCAAATAGAAAATATTGGATATGTGTTGTTGAAGCCCTATGTTACACTCGGAACCCAAGGGAATAATAATGATATAATAATAATAAATCCCCGTTTGCAAAATTCGACTTTCCTCATTATCATATAGCCTGAAGTTGGATATTGGAAATTAACCGGAATGAAGCTGTTTCATGCATTCACCTGTATACTATACCATACATAACCTTTAGGTTCACTCAATGATTTGCACCTTTGCCCATTAATGCTAAAGTATATGAATTTACTTTACTTCCCACCTTTATTAAGGTTGAATTGTACATGTTATTGGTAACGTTAAGAGTAATCAATATAGCTGTCGTAATGCGAATCGTGTACAGTGTAACTACTTTGTTAATGGACATAATACCGTTGCCACAGCGTTGTTATTCTCCTTCTCACCAAAGAATAGACTTTGAATCTAGGATCTTCACTTATTTGACATTCATTCTTAAGGTGCCTGAAGTAGCCTATATACCCTCGTTAGGTCAAATTATGAGCATTTCATGAGAATTCAGAGGTACGACTTACTCCACCAAGGATTCTACTACTCGAAGGTTATTAGTTTAATTGTCTAATTTCAATGGGAGTATTGGAAACTGCCGCTGAATCTCCACATCTCGCTCAGAATTCAAGGGTTGGATAATAATAATAATAGAAAAGCCTTATCGCTTCCATCACAATAAAAACTACATATATTTTAACCATTTAGGTACAGTGACTTTGTTAATATACTGTGTCGTATTATTGCGAGTGATACATTAAGATTTTATGCAATTATTGACTCAAAAGTATGCAAAAATATTCCAAATTTATTCACGTGATATGTGTGGTAAACATGGTTTTATTGCTGAGTGAACTGCTTCAAGAGTACAAGTAAATATGTATGCTTTTAGGTCACCTTACATGTATTTAATTATCTTGTCAAATATTTAAAAGTATAAACCTTTATTCAAGCAGTAAATATGATGATGATGGTAATAATAATAAAGCCATCTGTTGTGTGACGAAGACTGTTGTTTATAAGATACTTACTACCGGCTTAACTATAAATATTATGTGTCACAAATACTTAATTAGACTTATGATTAAGATACCTTAACATAAAATTCGAAATTCAGATGATAAATACAATTCAAAACAATAAAAATTAAGCAGATTAATTGACCATTTGTTGAAGTATTGCAAGAAATTCCTCTAGCCAATATGAAATCTACTACTAATGGCATTCTTGTTTAAATAGATTTTTGAAAATTGTTTAAAGGTTAGTTCAATCTTTGAATAGCCGAGATTACAGAGAAAAGCTTAGTCCAGTGCTAAATTGTATACTAAACGTAATCTGTATCAAAAGCGTATCATTACACTAACTTGCTAAAGTTATTCAAAAAATAAAATTACTAAAATTACTCATCAGAACAAAATTTTCATCCTAATATCTAAGATGATGGTAGAAATAGACATTATTAGTTAGATCAGCCTAGCTTCTAATCACTGTATCTACAGTCTCTTCAGCAGCACGCAACAGTCGGAATGAAGATGTGAAAATCAAGATCAAAAAAGCCAGGTAAACCTTCATCACTCTGAAATTGGTTTGGAAATCTTCTGCACTGCATTCAGCATATAGAATGAAATTCTGATTTTCAGCACCAAAGTGAAATCAATCACTGTTTCTGTGTGGGGCGGAAACCTGGCGACACGCAAAGCATTTCTAACAGGCGGCTTGAGGCTTTGATCAACAGCTGACACCTTAGCCTACTCCATACTTAAGACCAGGTGGTCAGCCAAAAGAGGCAAGCACCAAGAAAATACAGCAATGAACCAACGAAAAACCTATTCCGCCAAAAATATCTTGGAGAAAGTGGGGATGGATCGGATATATGCCAAGGAGACCAGAGAGTGAGATTGCGCATCAGGCCATCTGTCGAGTGGAACCGGAATGGGAAATTACGAGTTGAGTGTGGGTCCGTCAGCGACATGGAGGAGATTATGTGAGGAGGAGATGACAGACTATTGGCAGCCTTATAGTCAGCTAAAAAGGACTTCAGAGAACAGGATAAAATAGAGATCTGTTTTTGAAGCTCTGTATTCCCCTCGGAAAGCAATGGAATAATAATAATGATAAGATCAGCCAGGAAAAAGCTAATAATATTCCTGCTTTTATTTAACATATCAAACTAAATTAGTCAATTTTAAATAACATACAAAGAAATGTGGAATAGGGAATATCCACATTATATGCAAAGGCTGATTAGTGTGATTCAAATTTACAGCTATTTCAGAGTAAGGTGATGAGGTTTCCCAAACGTTTTTGCTGACAAATCTTCTGCTTTTCTAATAAGTGCAATATTAGTACACATTTAGATTCAAAATACATGCTCACAGTCAAATAGCCAGATTTGATGGTTAAAATGTGTTCTATAGTCTTTGAAAGTGGCTATATATATATATATATATATATATATATAATGATAGGCCTAATTATCATAAGGGAAGTATTTCTATTGGTACAATGAAAGTTTCTCTCCTTAAAACTTCAGTACACACGGATACAGTTTGAAAATTATTTATTTAAGTGATGGTAGTAAATTTACAAGACGTAAAAACCCAAAAGTATTGAAATCTGTTTGGTTGGTTGGGATCTAGGGTTTCTTTAGTTAAATGTAGCTTTTCGGAAGTTGATCTTTAAGCTAACTGAGCAGACGCAGCTTAAATATGCATTGGGCTTTAAAGTGTGAAGCCATACTCTTGATTAATTTAAACCGAGAAATTTTGTAGTAAAGTTCCGAAAAGTTTTAAGAGTATACTAGGGAGATATCGTCAGTAATAAAAGTAAGGAAATAGTCTATTTTTGGCTCCATATCATTAATAGAATGTTTTTCTACAAAATTATAAGCCTGTGGTGTAAAACTGTAGAAAAAACCACGGTATGAACAAATAATAATTGCTTAATAAGTGTGATTATTAATCAGTCCGAGACTTATTTTTACGAACAGATAGTTGAGACATGATACTGCAAAACACCTCATTTGAGGTGCAGTGTTACCAAAATTATTTAAGACACAATATTTCATCTGTATGATACCATAAGTGGGTTGTACCGCATATAATTGCTGAGTAGTATAAGTATTCAGGAAGCGTTCACACCAAATAATCAATAATAATGTTGTGCTAACCAAATGGTAAAATTGACAAGGACAGTTAGATACCCAAACACTGTAATAACGTGTCCAGTCTTGATTAGAATATCCAGCTAAAATGTCTTACATAAATAAGCCATGATTTATTATTGATATTAAACTAAAATGTGAAGTAAAGAGAATGTACCTGACTGCGAAATTACAATTGAAAGATTAACCGTTTGAAATGAGGTCTACATCAGTTAGGATCTTCCGAGGAACGTTTTGCCTTAAATAAGTCTTCTTGTGAATGGTTTAGCAATAGTGAAATAAAAAGCATGTATTGTATCGACACTAAAGTTATGTGACGTAATCTGCTGAATAATATATCCTTTTGGGATTTTACAGTAAGCAGTAATAAGTCATTGCTTGTTACATTAACAAAAAGATTGGTAACAAAGTCTTGTAAGTACTATGAATATTCTGAGTTCAATATCGTTCTGAACGGAAAAACCAGTGTTCTGGGATAACATTATTTCTAATAATAAACTTATCATGAAGTAGATTTAAGTCTGGACAACAGCTAAGTTCGTTCGGAAGAGGTATACAAGAAACTGGAATAGTTCAAACATCATACTCAAAGAATGAATAGAAGCCACTTAAAATATAAGTTTTGAAAATAGCAGACTTACTTCTTCAGATCTCCCACGGTGCAGAGTGATTTCAGAATTTTTAGCCATACCACCATTTAAATTTTGCTTTCTAGGGGAATGATATTACTTTAGAAATCATCTTACAGACTCGCACATATATGGTGATGAATAGAGTCAACAAGTGATTTGGAATCCTCTTGAGTCTCGCAGCTAAAAACATGTAATTCAGACTCATCACGTCTGAGTTCTGCATTATACTGAGAACATCGAAACAGTATGAGATAACCGTAGTTGAAGCTTTCAGAACGTTTTAACATTGCAATCTCGTCACTGATAGAAGGCCATTCAAAAAACTCAACGACTTCCTTAAACCAGCATGAACACAGAAAACGCATTTCATACCCCAGCTGATATTAATTCCACTTGAATCCCTTTTTTGTCAAGCTTGACAATACAGGGTGTTTCTTCTATCCTGCCGCTTTCATGCATTTTGTTAATGTGGTGAACAACCCCTTTGGGGGTAAGTTTTTCATCCCCTTCAATAAAACTAGCGATATGATTTGCCTTGAAAGTTGCATCCTCCCTATCGAAAATGAAAATTTAACTGACAACTCATAAAAGTTATTACGTTATAATATCTCTGTTCGTCATCTCCTTAAAAAATCAATTTGCCACCAGGTTTTATACGGAGGTTGTGAACTGGTTAAACAATAGCATTGCTAAATGGACGAAACCCATAAAATTTAGAAAGTATTCGAGAAACCGAAATATGACAAAATACTACTAAACTTCTTATACTGCCTGAAATTTCGGTTGACTAGCTGAATCTCAACAGTACTGGTCTATATGGTGGCCTACTAACTTAATTTCCATACGGTACAGTGCCTCTTATTTTCTGTAGTTCTTATTGTTATGATCATTCGTTTATGTTCGTGGATTGTCAGATGTACTCCCTCAAACTTTTAATTGACTTTCAACCTGCTGCTGCGCATCTCTATAACACCAAAGAAAAATACAATAAAGGATTATTTCATTCCTGAGATCGAACAGCACTGTGCACGTGGTGCACTGAAGATGGCTGTCTCGCTTGAAATTCCCTGATGAGAAGAAAATAGTATGCAACAAACCACAGTGAAAATTGTGCATACTCTGTTCAGAATAATAACATTATTACTGATTAATATTTTTAAAAACGCGAATGCAGCTATCGCTATTTTCGAAGTATTTCTTATGTAAATTTTCTTCCTGACCAGTTCAGCTTCGATATTTACCAAAATCCGTTGCCCTGAATGCACATGTCAGATTTGACAAGGCATCTGATTCATTTCAGTGTGCTGCACTGCACATACAACTGCATTAAAGGTCACATTCGTCTTTTTGTCACCATACGATAATTCTTGAGGATGGTTGGTGGTATCTAGCATTATGCCCAGATGTTAGCGTATTCAGATTACGAGATGGTTAAAATTAGGTCAGAGCATCTTTATTGTCTCCGAACAACATACTAGACGCGGATTCGTCAATAACTGTGGTGAGAGCTGGCTGCTGTTAATTATTATTATTGTATCCTTTAATTCCTACAGGAACATAGGGCTTCAGCCACGCGTCTCCATTGCGTTCTGTTCTCTGCTAGAGTCTTCACCTGGCTCCAAGTCTGCCCACACATTTTCATCTCCTCTTCACATGACCTCCTCCAAGTCACCCTTGCACTGACGACCAACTCGCCGCTTCCCTTTCGGGTTCCACTCGAGCAATGGCTTGTCTAGTGATGTCACTTGATGGTTTCCTCAGAGTATGGTCAATCCATCTCCATTTCTTCCTGCCTATTTGTTTCACAATCGGTTCCTGGTTGGTTGGTTCGCTCATTGCCAGAGATCTCTGTTGCTGATCTTTTCTGGCTGGCCATCTGATCTTGAGTATTGAGCGAAGACAATTGTTAATGAAGGTCTGTAGTTTGTTTGAGATGCTCTTCATCACGCGCAGTGCAAGTCTCTGATCCGTATAGTAGCACTGACTTCACATTGGAGTTGAAAATCCCGATCTTATTTTTGACGCTGAATGTTGTTGACCTCCACACAGACTTGAGAGTGATGAAAGCTTGTCTTGCTTTTCCGATTCTTGCTTTGATATCCTCGTCAGTTCCGTCCGCCTGTAGTTGAAACGATGCTTCTTAGGTAGGTAAAAGAGGTTGTTTCTTTCAGGTTCCTCCCATTTATGCTGATCGTTGTCTGTTGTTGTTGCTACTGCTGTCGCTGTTGGCCAGGAATCTTTTTCACCCCTGTTTTCTCTATGTTCACTTGAAGTCCTATCTTTTATGCTTCTTTTGCCAACTTGTTGCTTTTCACTTGCATATCTTCCAGTTTGTGGGAAATCACACATATATCATCGGCGAAGTCCAGATCCTCCAAGTTTTTTGTGTGAGTTCATTTTATGCCTGTCTCCTCGTTGCCCACCGCTGTCTGTCGCATTATCCAGTCTACCGAATTCAGGAAAATCATTGGCGATAGTAGGCAGCTAGCTTGTCTTACTCCTATCCTCACGTCGAAGGATTCCGTAAGTTTCCGGTTGTGGACTACTTGGCATGCAGCATTGTCGTACAGCTGTTGGATGAGATGTATAATTGTTGGTGGCACCCCATAGTAGCGAATTAGTTGCCAAATCACCTCTCGATCGACGCTATCGAAGGCCTTTTCAAAGTCGATGAAGCTGAGATAGAGAGGTGATTGCCATTCCAAGCTTTGTTCAATGATGATCCGTAGTGTGGCAATCTGATCAATGCATGACCTGTTTCTCCTGAATCCAGCCTGTTCCGGTCGAAGTTTTTCATCCAGGGCATGTTTGATTCTCTCCAGGATGATGCGGCGTAGTATTTTGCTTGGGATGGACAGGAGCATGATTCCGCGCCAGTTCTTGCATTGACTTAGGTCTCCTTTCTTTGGTAGTTTTGAATAAGTATCCTTTCTTCCAATCCTCGGGTACTTTGCCTTCTTTCCACACCTTCTCCAGTAGTGACGTCATCAAATCCGCTGTTGTCTCTGGGTCCATTTCAATGTTTCTGCTGGGATTCCATCTGGTCCTGCTGCTTTTCCAGCTCTTAGCGTCTTGATTGCCTTCAGGACTTCTGTTTTCGTCGGGGGGTTGATGTTCACTAGTAGCTCTGTCTCCGTTGTTGGTATTGTTGGGCGCGTTGAAGGTGGTGGTCGATTTAGGAGTCTTTTGAAGTGTTCATCCCACTGTTTCCTTTGCTCCACTTCTTTGGTGATTGACTTTCCATTGGCATCCTTCACCGGCTTAATTTGTTCCAAACTTTTGCCCGAAAGGTGCCTAGTTGTTTGGTATAGTGTAGCGAGGTCTCCTTTGCCTGCAGCTTGTTCTGCTTCGTTTGCCATGGTTTCACAATATTTTCTTTTGTCTTCCCTGGCACTTTTCTTCACTCTTTTGTTCAGTGCATTGTAGCTTGCATTCAACTCCTGTTTCTGTTGCTCGTCGGTGCACTGGATAATCTTTTGTTTCGCCACCCTTCTCTCTTCTATTAGTTTCCAAGTGTCCGTAGAGAGCCACTGTTTGTCCTGTCTCTTTTTTCTGCCTAGGACTTCCATGCAGGTTTGACTCCACACCGTTTTCAATTTGTTCCAGTGCATTTCGACGCTGACCTTTTCGTTGGTGTTGATTTGTGTCTCGGCTTTTTCCCTTATGTTTGCAATGAAGATGTCCTTTGTAGCCTGGTCCTTCAGCTTTTGAGTGTTGAACTTGGCTTGTGGTCTATCTGCAGCTCCGGTTTCCCTGAAAGCTTTTAATTTGATTTGGATTGTCCCTTGTACGAGGTAGTGGTCTGAGCCAACGTCTGCTCCTCTTCTTACTTTCGTGTCCAGTAGGCTGCGCCGCCACTTCCTCGAGATTGTGATGAAGTCGATTTGGTTTTTGGTTCGCCCATCTGGTGACACCCATGTAGCCTTGTGGATATCCTTGTGTTTGCATACACTGCCACCAATCTCTAGTTCATTGAAGGCGCAAAAGTCGGCGAAGAGTTCTCCGTTTTCATTCATTTCTCCTAGAGCTTCTCTACCCATGATGAATTCCCTTCCTGTGTTGTCTGACCCCAGTTTGGCGTTCATGTCTCCCATTAGTATTTTGATGTCGCCGACTGGAGTATTGTCCATTGTTGCCTGTAGTTCTCTGTAGAATTCTTCTTTCGTTTCGAGGTCTGCGTTGCTTGTCGGTGCAACGCATTGTATAGTTGACACTTTCCTCCCTTTGGAGTTGAATCTGGCTGTCATTATCCTGGGCGAGATCGCCTGCAATTGCATCAGGGCCTTCGTTGCCGTTGGTGACATCATGATAGCCACGCCCTCGGTGTGCATGTGGTTGTCTCCTGGGTAGTTTTGCCAATCTCGTACATGGTGCGGACATTCCACGTCCCCACACAGACTTCTTCTTTTGGCTCGAGGAGATTCATTGTGCTGAAGTTTCTGTAGCAGGTTTGTTTACAGGGTGGGGTTGCTAGCCTAACGCCTGAGAAGGGGAGAGAGAAAAGGTTAGTGTTGCGTGACCGCAGAGCCCAAGGGACAACTGCTTCAGGCCGGTCACAAGCGGCCTGTTTCTGGTTTTTCTTTCTTGTTTGGTGTGTCTCAGTAGCATATTTATCACTTCTGCCCTGTGATACAGCAGCAGGAAGCGCGGTCGTTGTTGACCCGGGCCCGGCATGATATTTTGTGAGTTTGTTTGAGTCACAGTATTGGATTGGGTAGCTGCTTTTTGTCTAACCGCTATCCAAACAACCTTTCTGGCATGGTAGGATCTACAGAAACATAAGTTCGAGCCGGTGTAGCTCGTTGGGTCATTGAGATATGCAAGCCCGACCACCACATCAAGGTGGCAGCTATCGGTCGGGGGGACTGTTATAGATAGAGTATTTAGCACTGTTTTTTCTTTTCAGGAGTCCACTACGTGGAGCAACAGGTACAACATCTACCAGGACTCAATAGCGATTATGGCAATTGGACTTTGCTTGTGAGGGCTTGGCCCGCCCTCTATAATTTCTGCCATTGTACCAAATACACGCTCTTACGAAGCTCGCGTTCTGCTTTTCTTCCTTGCGTGACTTTCGTCCATTGTGTTGCAAAAGTGGTATGGGAGGTGCCTAAATGTTTAAACAAGAAGGGTCTTCCGTCAGATGGTGAACCACCTCGAGCACTTTCCAGAGGGATGCAGACTAACTGTTCCTATATTATCTGCTGTTCGTCAACCTCCAGTCTTTTAACTCAACTCTGACTACTCGGTGTGGAAGAAATGCATGCAGGCGCTCCTCAACCTAGGCTCACCGTATCACCATTACATCCACATCCTCAATTCCCTCCCAAATGAAGCCTATGCACGAGGTGGCGTTGCTGGTTTTCGTAGCACGAAACCCACTAGCGAAAACTGGAGCATACTGGATGCCTGTTTTGACTTGCAATTGGGCCCCGACCATGCGATGCTGAAACTTCTCAGCCGATGATAATCACCTTGAGAGGGTCCTATAGATTGCTTTCAGGTTTTGCAAACATTGTGGCTCACGCTGACATCCACGGGAATGCAGAAAGAGAATGGTACATACACGGTGCTTCGAAGGTTTACTTCCCAGTGACCTGCGCTCAAGCCTTTTGCGGCCA